GATAAAAACATGAAGTACATGCAGTTGATAGTTATTATTTTGTGCTTGAGAAGCTTGTCAGTACTTTGTCAATGAAGAACCGGGTTCTGCTTATGAAGCTTTTTTATAAGAATGAATGTGAATGTGCTTCAGCTGCCCTCAAGATGTTAACTAGCAATGGGTATAAGATAGTCCAGTGTCCTCAATTCTGAGTTTTATAACAGAATCTTGGAGTTGGAAATGGGCTTCTGTCTGTCCACAAAATTTTCCATTCCCACTTCCATCCGAGGAGGGAAATGTATGGCTAAAGTTTGTCGTTTTGACAGGTCAGTAGGAAGAAACTCCTGAACGCGCATAATTTTGAATGGCACTGCAGAATGTTTCGATCTCATGTCAAATGAAACGATCTCTTTGAATTTACGAATCATCTTCACGCAAACTTTTGACAGACATTGGACCACAGAAACGTCTTATACCCATTAATGGTTCCAAATTTCTTCAGGGGAGTTAAAGCACAGTCACTGTTCTTGTAAAAATAGCTTTTCAAGCAGAACCCCATCTTTCACTGACAGATTGATGACGAGCTTCTCAGATGCAGAATAATGGGAACTAAACACAAATATAATACTTAATTGCTGGTATTTGCACAAAACGAAATTTTATCAGTTAAGATGAAGTTTAGGCCTTTCGGCTAATATATGGTGCACATGTCACGTCTTTTAATTAGCATACCATGAAAAATATTGCACCATCCACTGATAAAATTCTGAACTATGTTTTTTACTCCATGTTTTTATTAATAAAAGGTGCGCATGTCATGTCTTTTAACATATTAGGATAAATACAGCACCAATAAAAATTTTAAACTATCATTATTTCTCTTGTCAGACAAATTATCCGTTGCTTCGTGCATGTTCAGGTCACTCCGACCAGTAGCTTTATTGTTACAGCCTTTCGAAAGTGGAACTTTTAATTATCAATCACCCTGCATATTAACATTAGAATTACGGAAACGGTTATTTTGATCGAAACCGATATCAAACTTTTTGCATTTTTTGGATTTAACTTTAAAACATTTTAATATATTTTAACTTTTCCTAAATATATTCCAAGATGATTTGATTTAATTTATTTAATTATGGCAAAGTATACAAGAGCTATCTGCCTAAAGGATGGCCCTAACGTGCTAGTCTGCCGAAAGGTAGAGATGCCTTCATGGAAGACCTTCTAAAGAAAATTCACTCACATTCACTTCACACACGGAAAAAATCACGAAAACCTCCATGCAGCCAGCCGGATTGCCAGAAATCATACACAGGTCGAACTACCAGTGTTTTAGCGACTTTGCCGTTTGGCCAACATACAAAGTTGGCAAAACAATTTATATCATCTATTTTAAATTATTATTTTTGTATATAACTGTACAAACCCAGAATTATGGCTAGTGGTCATTTGACTGTTTTTTCTTGTTTAGTAGAAGTCTAACGTGGCTTGGTGTCACTGCATCTTCATGCCATTTGTTTTGGTTTTCTTTTAGTTTTCATGCCAGATACTATTCAACACCTGGTTAGAATGGAAGTAGTAATGTCTCAAATGGGTTTCATGTTTCTTGTCTGTCTAAACTTTTAACAGTTTCTTCGCCTTGTTGTGTGTCACACAGTACTCTTCATTTCACATACAGTTGTTCAAGGCTTCTTAACACTTTTTCTATTTATTGTAACTTTTTTCATTGTATTTTTTTTTTCTATTAGTCATGTTGACTAGTAGAACTGGAATTAGGACTATTGTAAGAAGAATATCTATCAGAATAAAAAATGGTAAAAACTTCAGAAGAATTATCCGATGACAATTCCGGTTCACAAATTTCTCGTCTAAAATAGAATGAGCTAATATGGAAATTTATTCTATTTCATCTGATGAAGACTGGATTATTCCAACAACAACAAGTAAATACAGTTAATAAAATCACAGTTCTATTATTCCTTCAAAAGGGAAGTACCATAACATTTCACCAACTAAAAAACTAAACTCAGTGGCATAAACAGCCCTAATGGGCCAAGGCCTGCAGTGCCCCAAAATATGCTTTCTTGACCGTGGGCCCCGGGGTGCATAAGCATATATGCCCTGAACAAGTGGTCAGCTGGGTTGCAGGACCCCCAGTATTTAGTCCTCAAGCAAAATTGGTACTCATTTTATTGATCCAATGGATGGAAATCAAGGGATGAAAGGCTGAGTCGATAGCCCAGGGTTCGAACCCTGGACCTGTGGCGCTGCTGCGCGATGCACTAGCCACTGCGCCAACAGGCCTCATTTCACTATCTAGTTCACAGGAAGAACAAAACATTCCTTAACCATTTCCATATTGTATTGATTCCATAACAAAATTCTAACAAAAGGAAGTCCAAGAGATTAAGGATTTAGCCTTGAATGAAAATTTAGTCAGCAGCGAGGAAGCAATCATGGTCCAAAAAGACAACAAAGGTGTGGAATAAGCCATAGACCAATGAGAAAATGAAGAAAAATTAGATGTTTTGAAGTCAATCAAAAGATGAAGAAACAGTAAACGATGATATAATGCAGAAAAAGCAAATTACTTCAGCAAATTCACTGGACAAAATGTTTTGAAAGAAGCAGAAGGGCCAATTATTTTTGCAAATAAAAGTTGGTGCGACTTTTCTTGCTCATCTGATATCAGAGCAAGTCCATGAAATTCATCATAGCAAGGAGCACATGATTATGCCTGTCGTTGGAAAGAAACACGAACATCATACAAGTGTCATGACAATTTTGTCCAGTTCCACCCCAGTTTTCAGGGACAGAACCGCACGGGGGTGAGATTGAGGGTCTTCCACTGCTTTTTCCCTACAAGCAATCCACATGAGAGGACTTTTTACTAGCCATTTATTTACAGTGCCCCCATACCACAAAGACCCTATAAATTTACAACATCTATGCCTTCTTTGAGATTCGAATCCGGGCCCTTCAGTATGATAGTCGCAGTCACTAACCACTATCCCATTGGAGTGGCGAAAGAAAAGTAATTGATGGGAGCACCAGTAGTGCATGGAGATGTCTTATCAATGAAAGCAAATTGTGTCATACACAGCAATGCACAGAACTGCAGGCACATCAAAAGTTTGGAAATTTAAATTGGAGCTTGTCGCTTGATGAGGTAAACACCTTCACTGCTCTATTACATGCTTGTGGTGCTTCAGCGGCCAAATGATTTTCTGTTTTGAGTTTATGATCCAAAAATCTTCAGAGGAACAATACCTAGGGACAGATTCTTGAAAATAATGAAATATTTTCACTTTGATCTAAAGTCAACTAGATCAAAAAGATTACTTGATCCAAATGAAATGAATAAAAAATGTACCAAGGCATTATCAAACTATCAACTGGTATTTCAAAATAAAATAACTAGAATTGTACATAAAGAAATGCAGAATGCATTATGGAGACCATAAAATGAAAGGGGCACTCAGTAGGACAAAGGTGAGAATGCTGTATATTGTGTACTGTATTCTTTGCTGAGCTGTTTCCCGTGGTGCAAGGTGCAGTATGCTCTGTGATGGATGTTGTGCTAAAACAGTAGTGTAACAAAGCAAAACCCATACATCCTTAGGCGAAGTTCTGGTGCTCCGCCTACCTTTTCCTGTCCCTGCTCTTGCTTTAGAGATATGGAACACCTTTATCGAGAACGAAAATTACTTATTGTATTAAAAGCCAGATGAAAACATTAAAATTAATAATTAATTGTTCCTTACAAAGGCAATATGTCATTTTATTCCGTACACACTGCTAAAAACCCAGTAAATTCAGCACAAAATTTTGATTGTAAGCTGAAATAAAGTACATAGTAAATGGATACCCTTATTTGAGAAGAGTAGAAAGCAGACGAGTTGAACAAAATTTTGCGGAGCATGCCATTTATTGGTCAACTCAGCTTTATTATAACAACAGAAGAAATGTTACTTCTTCAATTCAATGGTAAATTTTTTTACTTCTTTGACTTTAGTAAAATATTTGAGAAATAAAGGTATTCATTATGACTGCACAGTGAATCGCGCAAAGAGATCCCTTTTTTGCTGAAGAATACAAAAGATTAATTACATTCTAATAAAATTGTCAAACATGATAATATATCTCTCCCATCACATCAAGGAAAAGAGAATAAAAATGTCCTTTTCTTGAATTCATTTCATCCAACTAAGAAGAATAAATGAAATGATGAAAAAAAATGAAGCCATGAGTTTTTGGTCAATCAAATATACAATAGATGTTTTGGATCAAATGCCCCCAAAATATTACATCAAACCTTCAAGTCCATGTTGGCCAGCACATGCGCTTTTTAGTATCTGATTTATCTGCAATAAATGCATCATTTATAAGATTAATACAGATAATACAAACATTAGCGATTGTGATTTTATTTTAGATGTGGCCAAACAGCTACATGAAAATTACACTTCCTCAAAGAACCTTCTTGCTCCCATGAGAAGCCTAAAAGATGTCCTTTCTGCAAATAAGACTGAACAGTGCAAGAAAAATAAGACTGTAAATGTTCAATCAAGGTGCAATAAACATGTTTGGGCTGTACATGGGATGAATTACTAAATTAATCATTTGTATAAACTGCTCAGACCAATAATGTAAGTAATTTTATGCTTTTTTTTTCTTTTAAAAGAAATATTTAGATTGAAAAATTTTTGTAGCATATAAGATTAATATTAATAATTTATACTGTGAAAGAGAAATTGTTGCCATATGAATTGGTAATATTAAAAATAAATTTTTTTTGAAAAATTTTTAACCCTGCAATTAAAATTAATTTAATGAACTAAAGTACAACACATTTTATTGAAAAATTCAAAAATGCTAGATTTCTTCCATTAATTAAGCTAATATAAATGTGACTGCACACCATAGTTAGAGGTAAAGCAAGAAATGCCATAATGCTAATGCTAATTTCCAGACTACATTGATATATCAATGAAAAATGTTTTAAAAAAAACTCTTTCTATTTTATATAAGTAGCTTTTTATTTAATCTCGAAAATATATATAACTTTCCAAAACCATAATTTTTTCTCTTTTGATTTCACAAATATTTCCTTAGGTGGAAAGGAGGTTATACTATAAATAAAAACCATTTTGCAAAACCATGCAATAATGTATAAAATTGGAATGCTTTTAACAGTCATAAATTCAGTTCTTTCAGTTCAAACACAGCATGGTAAGTAACAATTTAAAGGTAATAAATATAACTTACAAATAATAAATGGTATTTGTGTATTAATGCCTGAAATCAACTTACTTAATTTTCTACTGTCAGCAAAAAACTTCGAAAATCTAACTCATAACTTTAAAAACTCATGTGATCATACGGAGAGGACACAGCAAGTAGCATTTACTTTATTTTAGCAGCGGTTATAAATTACTAGGTTCACATTCCAGCATTATCTCATAGCAAAAAATTAATTAAAATAATTTATATTTCTTAAACAACTGCCTTTCCTTTGTATAAACTTTTGAATTCTTCCTTTTCCAATAGATCAGTTTTTCATATAAAAATAGCAGTTTAAATTTTCAGAGATTGTTAATGATAAAGCAGCATAAAATATGTAAAAAATGTAATATGATTGATTCATAAGGGACTAAAAGAATGAATATAATTTTATACAAATATTTCCAAATTATTTATAATAATGTCAATTAATCCACTTTTGACAAATGAAATTTAACTACAAGTGAATTAAATCAGAATCCATATTTTACCACATTAATACACAAGTACTCAGTAACTCAGAAAAGACAAAAAAAAAAAAAAAAAACTGCTTTGTGTTCAGTTATAAGAAAATAAAACATTACCAGAACTTAAGATGCAGAATAACATACCAAACAATTACTAATGGGTGCAAAAAATCTGCATATAAAATGCAATAATTTTTAATAAAAAAATTACCCGAGTTAAAAATTTTTGTATCAGAGATGAGCAACCAGGTAAAATATTTTACTTCTCTAAGTCTATAGGTCTAATGCACTTGAAAGTACTTTACATAAGCTTTTACTATGCAGAATTTAATTGTATAATTTAAATGTTTTAAATTATTTTTGAACTACAAAAATGAGAATTTTAAATAAAAAGAAGTATTAAAAACAGCAATCTAAATGAAACACATCCAATTTCCTTTAGTTAAAAACTAATAAACAAAATAAAATTACATTTAGAAGCCAACATTTTAGTAGAAACTTTCAATGATAGAATACTGATTTATATATTAAATGTTTTAATGACTAGTTTTAATACAAAATCAAGTACTTGTTAAGAAACAAATATTTTTTTTAATCTAGAGAACTTCATTTATGTATAAATTATATATATATATATATATATATATATAAATTCTGCCCTGAAAAGTTTAGCAGCATATTCAAAACAATTCTAAATTTATTTAACGAACTTTTACGACATTACAGTTCCAAAATAGGCGTAAAGTATTTAAATATTTTAAAACTACAGAAAGTGAACTCCATTTATATGCATATTCTTAATCTTAAGTTTTGTACATTTAGAGTTTTTGTAAAACAGTCTGAATAGGCAAGGCTTACATGCATGAGTAAAACTTTGATTAATTAATAGTTTATATATTTTTATTTCATAAGAGCATGAACAACAGCTTTAGGATTAAGGCTTTTGAGGTCAGTATAAGTTTGTCCAGTACCAACAAAGATAATCGGCTGACCAGTTATGTACGTCATTGATATAGCAGCCCCAACCTAAAAAAGAAATAAAAAAATTATTAAAAAGGAAAATAAAATATCAATTACAGATAAATACACAGAATTTACCTGTCACAACAGGATACCGTGCATAAGGATATTGTTTACGTATATCCATCCTTATAATAAGAAATCAACTCTATCCATACTGATACACTATAACTAACTTGTTTCGAAAGTAATAAGATCAAAGCCAAGGTCACCTACGATTTTATCTACAGGTGCATTTATGCGAAAATGAACAATAGTAATTCCCATAATTTAGTTCTAAATATTTCTGAGCACATACACCAAACCAATAAATAAAATATTGTTATGAAATGCCCAGTTGCCATAAGATAGCTTCCGCCTCAAGCGGGTTTACGGTTGCTAGATTTGATGTGAAATCGCCCATTTGGCGACAAAATTGGTGACATGCCAGACACAGAGGAAGAGCCTTTTATACTGTCTGTTTACCACAAGAACACCTCAAAACAAAATGCTCACAGATGTCTGTTGACATAGAAATGAGCTTTAATCCATTTTTGGAGGAATGTCTAGGAAAAAGGCATTTAAGTTTGCTATCTTGATGCACTTAACAATGAGTTGGCAATATACACTTTTAAGTAAAATCTTCATTATATTGTTATGTCTCTCCCAAGTCCTACCTTCCCCAAAAACAAAATACCAATCACTTTCCTCTGACTCACCTCTGCTTGAAACGCATAAATTCTGTTGTTATAACAGTTGCCACCTCCAGCATACCGGCAACCTGCAGTTCTTGAGACAGACGCACATCATGTATTACATCTTCTCAACAGAGGGCAAATTTAAAAAGCAACTTAATCTCAAGCCCAAGTACCAAGGGTACCCAATATCCAATTTCGACTAAGGCATACAATGCTTTATGTTGAGTACTACACTGCTTTAATTATGAAGAACAAAAGCTGCAGTCCAGATTTGCAGATGTTAACAGACAGATCCATACTATAGCAACAGGGATGATTGTGTCAAGCTAAGCCAAAAGGCACTCTATCTCAGATATAAATGCAATTTTACATCATGAATCATAAAAGTGTAGGCCACTTTTGATAAAAGATAATGGCTTCTGACAATTAAATTTGATTAATAGATTTCATTGTTTAGACGCCCACATATTTCATTATTCACGATATAAAAACTGTAGATGAATTTTGTAAAGATAATTGTTCCATCAACTGTTCCCACTAAACTATATGATAAAATATTTTTGTCCTTTTAGTTTATTAATTATTCAGTTTTAAATAAAAGCTTACTTTATTAAATTAAGTCTGAAATACACATTATCAAGGAAATTATTCAGATGAAAACTTATTTTTAACAATGAATAATCCCTCTTACTTCCAGCAATTCCTTTAAATTTTAAATACTAATCAATTATTAAAATCTATTTTTGCATAAAATGCTCTGTTGCTTTTGCAGTCAATGCATAAAGAAAGGGGGAAAACAGCATTTATAAAATGGCAGCAGAATTTCTTTGCATGTAATTCTTTCTAATAAGGATGCATAAATAAAAACAATATTAGAAAAGTCTATAAGGAAGCATGAAAAACAGGATTACTTTTATAATGGCATCGCAGATTCAAATAAAACTTTGGACTTCCAATAAACATCTATGCTACACACAAAGTTATTGTTTTATCCAGTTTTAAACTCAATCCATTTTTTTCTAAAATAATGTATATTTCTGTGGCTTGACATCAGCATGACAACTCTAAAAGCAATATGAGAAACAATTCAACATACCTTATCATCAATGGTATCAAACTTGGTGAGCACTATTCCATCGATGAGGTGAGGGTTATCTTGACTGGAATGGTCAGCCAGGGCACGGTTAAATTTCACTAGCTGGTCTACCGCTTCATTTCCCACTAGAGCTTCACCCACAAAAGCTACCAGATCAGGATTGTTTACTTTGATCAGCTGAGAAACACAATTATCATCATATAAACAAAAAATATGCAGGCAGCTATCAAGCAGAAACAATTTTCTAAGAAAATTTAACTTATTTTTAAAAAAATTAATTGCTCAGAATTTACAAAAATTTACAGAAAATTACATATAACAATGGAAACAGACAAAAATTTTCCACTTACTTTATTCTAACTATTTTCTAACTTTACAAGTTCTCAGTGTAATTTCTGTATGAAATTTCTTTTTACATTTTCCATGTTTCAGGAGTCATTTTTATATAACCTCAATCACACAATGATTACAATGTTCAAGATCCCTTTATTACAGCTTCCTTAACCCAAAACAATACTGTTGATTAACTTGGTGAAAAATTAGGTGCCAATGACTTTGAAAATGCATTCAAAGTTGGCAATGCATTTACAACTGTTTGAAGAGGTTCCAGATAATAAAGTTTTGTTTTCAATTATAATTCTTTCCATCTAACCAGAAATCAAAATACACTTCATACAGTCTAATTTAATCGATTTAAAAAATTTGTTATTACTTTTAATTTGCAGTATTTTATTCCCCATTATGCTAACATCCTGAACTCAAGGATGAATACAATACTTTTTTTTTTTTTTTTAATGAGAATAGATAAACTGCTACACATACTTTGGCCAATGCTCGCATCAGAGGTTCATTATCTTGCATTCGACCCGCAGTATCAATAAGTACCACATCAATCTTCATATCTCTGGCTAATAAATTAGAATAATAGGTTTGTCAATAAAAATTGATATTAAAAATACATACTTTATATATCATTTCAAGTCAAAAATAAAAAAATAATGTTGGCAGATAATTTTCTGTTTATTTCAATACAAAAGTATTCAATCTAAGGAATTTCATTATCTCAATAAACTGAATAAGGAATCTTATGAAACATAATTAAAACATTTTAAGCACATAAAATTTATTGGCTGGCAACACTTAATAATAATAGCTTGACATAACATGCCTCTTCCAAAATGTAAATATGGAACTATAGTTGATTATATAAATATGATAGAGAATTAAAGTTTGAAAATGAAATAGCAACATAATTACTGACAAGCATATATTATATGAGCCTTTAGAAGTTTTCCTTTTTATACTAAAGAATACATGTATAAATATGAAATTTTCAGCAGAAACAAGAAAGCTCAACATATAGAATTCACAATGGCACAATCTGTTTAGCAGAAAATTCTGACTTTTACTTATTATAAATGAAAGCTACACTATACCTACAAGAGTAAGATTGATATGGAATTATAGTGCCAATTGTGTGGAATATTAAACCATAGAAAACATGAAAGATGACATGGAATTATAGTTCAAAAATGAAATAGCAATATAATTACGGCAAAACATATATAAGCCTATAGCAGTTTTCTTTTTTATATCAAAGAATATGCACATGCATAAATATGACATTTTCAATAGAAATGAAAACCCCAACACATAAAATTTATGGCATAGTCTCATAAAAGCAGAAATTTCTGCAATATACTGTAGTATCATGATTATCATAAATGAAAGTTGTACACAGTAACTACAAGAGTAGGCAATGATCTAATGGAATACATATTGACAAAGTTTTAGTATGGAGTATTGTAACGCAAAACTAATAGCTGTGAAACTAGAAACAATTTAGTTCAACGATAAGATGGACTCAGTAACTATTCATTCTCAGACTAAGTCCTCATGAATATATAGAGTAAATTATATTCCTTTAAATGACAGAAAATTTCATATAAATAAAAATGCCATTATACACAAGTTAAAAAATTAAATGCAATGATATGCAAGTTTAAACAGTTGCACAACTGATACATTCCAAACTACAATCAATCAGTCAATCAATCAAAGTAACTAACCATAATTGATAGCTTCCATTGCAATTCCAGCTGCATCTTTTCCATATCCTTTCTCATACAGCTGCACCATTTGCAGACCGTTGTGGCTCTCGGGGGGATGAAGGGCATTCAAATGGCGAGTGTGGGTTCGCAACTGTTCCACGGCACCCGCACGGAAAGTATCACAGGCAGCAATAAGAACTCTTAAATCATTCTCGATCAACCAAAATGCAATCTATAAAAAATACACAAACATGCATGTTCATATTCAACATTTAAAAGGCATTTAAAATATTCTCAAAACACCACTTACAAACTGATATTCAAATATTCCAATTCATTACAAGAAAAATAATTACAGGAAAAGATGGACAAATTTGTTAAATTATCCAATATACAGAGGCTGTTCACACATTTTTTAGACGATGTATATTGTATTCACAAAATTAAATTACATAAAATTCTTGTGTTTTTGTTCTATTTGACATCCCTTATTCTGAACTATCTTTTGACACTGCAATTTCCAGGATAATAATGCCTTTTGAAGTGGCAGAAGAGGTATTCTATCCCATTCCTCCCAAACAGCTTTTCAGAGTCCTGTTAGGGTTTTGGGACAACGTTTGGATAATGCAGTTTTTAAAAGTCTGAAAGCACATAAATCCATAGATGACACATCGGGAGATTTAATAGAGATATCAGTGAAGGGTATGGCCTTGATACCAGTTTTTTGTTCCGTTTCTTTTAGGAAACTTACAGTGGATTTTGATGCGTGACTGCTAGCTTTGTCTTGATGGAGTCTCACAGATTGATGGCACTGTGGGTAAAGCGATGGTATTTCATTCAGAAAAATTGGTGATAAAATACATTTCTGATAGTATTTGGAGTTAATCTTGACATTTTTTTGCACTCTCTTTATTTTTAACTTGCCATTATAAGAAAAACAATCATTTATCATTATAAGAAAAACAATCATTTTATTGCCAGCAACAATCATTTATCCCTTAGAAAAACTTTCTTTCAATTCTTTGAACCATGTACTTAAATTTTTTTCTCCCCTTTTATGAAAAAAATTGGCTCTTTTTTTGTTACAATCATTTAAATACACCCATGCTTCATCTATTGTGACAATTGTTTTCCATTTTTCTTTGGATAAGTATTTCTCATATAGAATTCTGCAGCGTGTCCTGCGTTGAGCGATATGCTTTGGAAGAAGACGATGCACATTGTGTTTTTTTTCGCTTCTTAAGATATTAAAAATCAACGTTTATCATTTGTTTACAATGGACACCGAGCACATTTTAATGATTTTGCGAGCTGTCCTTTGACTAGGGGGATTTTCCTTTAACTTTAAACAACATTACCTTTGGCAATAGTCGAAGATGTCCGTTTTTTCCTTGGATATTTGTTTGGAATTTTTGTCTCCCACTTGAGGCTCCAATTTGGACGTTTTTTTTTTTTTTTTTTTTTTTTTCTTTCTTGTTGATGATATTATCCTATGGACGCTTTTAGATATCACAAAATCCATGACTCTTAACATCCTTTTTTGGATAACAGGAGTATGCATATTTCTGTTCGGAAAGAGCGTAAATGTAGCCTTCGAACCACTGCTTTGTTAAATTTGCTCCATTTTGAATAAAACAAAAACTTTCAAGCCACAGACGATAATTTTGACTTTTAAAAACATAGTACAATTGCAATTACTTCTTTTGCGGCAAAAGATTTTTTATTACCGCTTACCAAAACCGTCTAAAAAATGTGCGAACAGCCTCTGTATAATGCATACATTATAAATGCATTATTTGATTTACTTTTGCAAGATTGGTTGATTTTCCAACTCCATTCACACCACAAAAGACGATGGTGTAAGGACGATGAGATTTCTGAGCTTCCATCACGTCACGCAAGATGTCGATTCGACGTTTGGGGGACAGCAACTGCACGAGGGCATCAACAAGAGTGGCCTTTACAGTTGAAGTTACACCAGTGAATGTACCAAGGACTTTACCTTCCAGTTTGGTTGCCACAGATTCGCATAGTTTGTCAGCAATATCAGCAGCCACATTTTTAGCTAAGATTAAAAAAAAAAAAAAAAATCACTTCATTCTTATAATAATTACACAAAAAATAAAAACTATGCTCCACAGATACATAGATAATATATATTGCAGCAATGATATAAAGAAATATTTTTGTACAAAACAAACAGTAAAGAACTTTAGAAGATGTTGGTTCTTCGAATAATATTACATAATGTGGGGGAGAATTTCTAAAATAAACTGGTATACAGAGGATGTCGGCACACTTTTTTAGACGATTTTGCTTTGCTATAATAAAAAAATATTGACCATTTCAATACTTGTTCTGGACTTAATAACATGGTAATGGCTAATGCCATCAAAAATTATTGTACTTCTTTTAGTATTTCTGAATTCTATTGGTCTGCCTGTCACAGATTAATGGCGGTCAGTGCTGGATTTACGAACACAAGCTATATCTAGGGCCCCCACCTTTAAAAATTGTACTATATTCCGTATTAATAAAAAAAGTCTAATATCCCTGATAAAGAGCCTTCTATCTCAAATAGCTTAGGATCTCATCAAAACTAAATCCAGTCCTGATGGCAGTCATGCCTAGGTCTAGTGTAGGATTAAAAATAATAATAATAATAACATGGTAAGGGGTGATAAAAATTTTCAAAACAGGGCTAAGAGCAATCATTTCAGGAATTAAAATGTTATAATTAACAGCATAAACTTAGTCTTTTAACTAAGTTTATGATTTTAATTGATTTTGTATTTCTGCAAGGTTCAGTTTTTGTGTTATATAAGCAATGCTGAACAAAAAATTCTATTAAAAAGTTACATAAATTCAGAAACTAAAAAATGTTAGGCTAGAGGAGAAAAGACAAAAATTTCCATTAAGAAATGCTGCAAAATTTATCGATAAAAGCTGTTTATTTTTGCTCTTCTATACCCATATAATACATCAAAAACTGAAACTTTGCAATTTGAAAACTTTTAAAGATTTCAGTAGAATATCACTATAAGGCTTTATCAAATTTTTATGAGATTTTGAAAAGCAACATTTTTACAAAATTTTGTTCTGTGAAAAGGTTCATAAAATTTCTGCTGAATTTTATAGAGCAGCATTTCTACAGAGGATTTTAACTACCAGCAGATTTACCAATTAAGTTTACGGGAATTTCTAAACAGTCGTACCAATATTTATATACATTTTTCATAAGAGAAGGGTTGGGAAAAATGCTTCTGTGGAGCATTTTCTATAAGAAATTCACTCTATGTTATATATAGGGAAAGCCATGAAACATTCATTCAAGACAAACTCAGTAGCTACGATTTGAATACAGGCTATAAAGTAACAAAATTAAATTATGTTAATGAGTACAATAATTGTTTAACATAAATGAATCAAAGTAACAGGTTTACATCAACATTGGCAATTTCATTGCTAGATAATGATTTTAATCTGGTAACCTTACTTTCTTCATTGTTAGGTAATAATTCTATTCTGGCAACCTCACTTATTATATAACCCAAGTTAATGAGACAATGGGCTATAGCTCTTGGCCACATGCCCACTGTTTTTTAAATATGTTTTGCTATTTTTTAAAAACTGTGTCCCTTTAAATGACTAAAATAAAAAAAAATAAAAATCCCTGTTTCAGTTTTATTACTATAGGGTGGTTGAAAGCTGGTTGTTTCAACAGTCCTTAAGTGACTACAATTTCTGTCAAAAGGTATAATTTAGTTTTATCATTATTATTCCTTTTACTTGGAACAATAGGATAAAATGTCTGGTTATAGTAATGCACTAGCCAAAGATGTAGTGTCACCCAAAAGAAGCTCAAGCCTCATGCCAACCATAAATGCAATCCCACACTCCTCACCATGATAAAATTCATAGACTTGTTTTAATACTACTGTCAGACAAATAAGATAAGTCACAACAGGTGCAAGTAAAAGCTAAGTCAGCACTTCTGTAGTATCACAGGTGACTGAGGTATTATTGAATTTAGCTAACTGTTAAGCTCTCATCCCCATTTTGAGGAAGAACACCTGAGGCTTTCCCAACCCTATTTCCCTATCACCAGAGCTATCATAATGCACGCATAGCAGCCCCATGCTTTTTTATTTACATTTAATTTCTGCGAGTAGCAATGTGGGCCCAAGCATTCATTTGGCCAGAAGCCATACTGCTGTTTTACACACTGTAACAATGTGAAATTGCAAGCACATACATATATATGCAATTTTAATTTTCATTATTTTGAACTTCATTAAAAAATATTTTCAAGTATATACTTGTACTTCATATACATACAAATACATCATGTATACATAATTATTAAATTAAACATACTAATCATGTGATCCTTGAGTTTATCCAAGATGGGCTGCATATTTTCACGAGTGACATTCTTCTGACCCACGAGGCCTTTGAACATGTTAAACATGCCATATCCTTTTGACTGGCTAAAAAATTTAAGAAAATTATCTTAAAAAACTAAGCAGAAAAAAATATAACATGTAAAAATTGACAAACTAAGTAACGTTTTTTATATGAAATCTTTGATTTTATCTACTTCTACACAGAAAGAAATTGGAAAATTACAATTAATACATCTCATTACTACTTTCACATTTACCATATTTCCCCCCTTTAACAAATGAAAAATATTTACAAATAAGATATTGGTTATTATGAAGCTACAGCAGGAACTACGAGGAAAAATACAAGAGAAATACTGTATATTTTTATGCATTAGTTGTTACATCCCACTTTCAGCCTCTTGGATATTTCATAGTTCAAAAATGTATGACACTTTTATATAGAAGTATATACTGTAATAACTACATTTTCAAAAGAGGACATTTGTGCTATTATTTTTAAGAAAAAGGGGATATACTTTACAATGAAGATTTTAAGGCTTTGCAAACTGAAATTAAAACATTATCTAAAATATATATGTAATATTTTGTTGGTATGTTGATAGAACTTAGTATAGAGTTGGCTAATCAGCTAGGGAAGACGAAACCAATCACATTTTAGTCATGGTTAAATAAACTTTGCAGGTGACAGCTTGCACCAAATTCAATATAATTTTATTTTTAGATAAAGCAGTTTTGGAGACACAATAGTTTCTTCATACATGATTATGAGTGGAATAGGCACCTTGCAATTTAGCATATGCAGCTTTCATTTCAGATGGCAGAAAAATAAGTAAAGTGAAGTGAGGGCATTGCTTATTCATGCACAGCAACAGGTGAAAAATGAAGTGTATTAAGCAGTTGGAGTTATTTATAATCTTGATTCCTTTGAATTCTGGAAAGCGATTGGGAAAATGTTTACAGCAATGCAGAGAAATTGCAGGGAAATCGTGGCATCAATGATGAAGTATAGATGTCTTGGCTTGTATTAGGATAAAAATTAGGACTTTAACAGGGCTATGCCAATTTGTTTCAATTAAGTTTAATTTAATAAATTTCTGTCATATTTTTATATATCTTACTTCAGAGTTGGAAAGGACAAGATAAGTGTGAATGCACAAATGGGAAAATTCATTATGAACACAAGGCACTTGCTTTCTGTGTTTCAGCCTAGATAGACTGCTACTTGCTGCTTCTCTTTTTATCGCAAAGCTATCCAAAATGTAAATGCTCTGAAAAGGTACGAGTAGTGATCCAATTGGTTTGCGGCCACAAATGTCTACTGAAATAAAAATTAATATTTCATCTGCCTTTACTGCTAAGTTGCTGTTCATTGTGGACTGTTCACATAGAAAACTTAAATATAAGCTAAAACTTACGCCAATCATTTCAGCATAAATTTGTAAGGAATAGATCAAATTTAGTTAAATAATCAATACATAAACCAGCTTATCAGGAGTTAATCATGATTAAATAAAACAAAGTGAAGATCTTATGTGTGTTGTGACATCAAAATCATCAATTACTATTAATAAATCACACTGCTTGGTGATGGTTTCTACTTGTGAAAACTGGTTAATGGCAAAATATGCAAGGACCAAAAATTGTTGACATTTTTTGAAGAAAAAAAGAAAATGCAACAATAACATTTGGTCTACTAAGAGTTGTTCTTGTTACAGGCAGTCTACAGCTGCTAGACTTCTGGACATTCAACAATGTTTTGTGACAGGGCTTAATTTCTAAGATGAGAAGTGCCGGAGCCCTATGGAAGATTATCAGCAAAGAGGAACAAGAGTAAATAAATAAATAAAATGACTATTAAACTCATTAATAATTTAAAAATTAAATAGCTAATTACTATCAAATTAAATAATAGCTATTTAATTAATGTTTATAAATTGTTATTTAATCAATAATTAATATTATATAATTAATTATAATTTAATTGATAATTATATTAGATAATTAATTATTATTTATTGAATAATTAAATAATTAAAATTAAATAAAATGTAAAGAGATAAATTGAAATTTAATACGCGATTTTTAATATAATTTTATTGTTAAAATAAAATGCGAGATAAAATTTCTACTGAAATTGTTATTCAATTACATGAAAGAAGTGCAGCAGCCTTCTTATTCAGGGCTCCGGTGCGTTCCGGCTAGAATTATGATTTATTACAAAAATTAAGAAGCACCGGAGCCGAAATCCAGTGGGCTCCGGCCCAATTTAAGCTCTGATCGCTCTGATAGAAACTTCCCCAAATTTATTGCTTTTCTTAGAGGGAAAGGTTTCCGCATGCGAGTGAGGGGACTTCACTTGAATGTCTCATGTTCTCATGAGTTTGCATTTCTAGGGAAATAAAGTATTGCAAGGTCTGCTTATTGTTAAACTAAAATGTTAGGAATTCTAAATTTTTTCCCCTTTAAATTGTGGTTTAGTTTTATAAAAAAAGTACCAGATCTCATCTTATTTAGGGCTCCGGTGCACTCGGGCTAAAATTGTAATTTATCTTATAAACTGAAAAGCACCGGAGCCCAATTTAAGCACTGGTTTGTGACATATACTGGTGATTTTATCTATAGTCCTTGTGCTACAACAATAATGAAGGCCCAAGATATACAGCAAGACCCTACTTAACGCAGGGTATACGTTCCATCAAAGTAGAGCGTAATATGAAACAGCGTTAAACGAGGTAATCTCATCATGTAAATAATAGGGTTAGGGGAAGATGGGTAGAAAATTGGTCAGATATTTTGCCATTAAATTTATTAATTATGTTTTTTATGACAATAATTCAGTCTCTTCTGTATTTCCAATTTTCTGCCTTTTTATCAAGAAGGTTCCAATGTAATTTGCATTTTTCTTTTTGCACTCTGTAAGAAGTTGCTGGTAAGTGGATAAGGCATCCATAACACCCCATCTTGCCTTTAAACTCCTGTCAAAATTTGAGCCATGTTTAATAAATTGGTCCATAATTTCTGTTATAATGGTCAAACTGGTTTTTAGAAACGCTGTTGAAAGTTCTTTTTGCTCTTCTTCTGAATCACCACTTTCAATATTTTTGTGTTCTTCTTGGTCTGCTAATTCCTTGAGCTCATCATTAGAAAGACTTGCTGCTGTTTCTGGCACTATTTCTTCGACATCTTCCACATTTACCTCATCTAAACCGGTTTGTTTTGCTAATTCCACTATTTCATTCATATAGAAAGAGTGTCCAGTGTCACCGCCCTTGCTTAGATCTGGCTAAATGTTCTTCCACACCACTTTCAAACATTTTTCTGTTACCTCATTCCAAGAAAGGCTTATGTTTTCTACAGCATTCAGGATAATGTAGTTTTCCCCAAACTCTCTTATTGATTGTTTCTCTTCTCCATCTGTTTTTCCAAACGTCTGTCTAAATGTTTGCCGCAGGCAATAAGCCTTAAAATTTGATAGAACGCCTTGATCCATTTGTTGGATTAAGGCAGTTGTGTTAGGCGGCAAGAAAACCACTTTGACTGGAATGCATGTTATTAAGTCAGATAAATTTGTTGGAAGGCTTGGAGCATTATCAATTAAAAGTAATGCTCTTGATTCAAGTTTTTAAATTTCGCAACAGCATTTAACAGATGGGCAAAAATATTCAGTGAACCAATTCTGGAAAATTTTCATACTTATTCATGGTTTTTCATTAGACTCCCAAAGTACAGGTAAAGTTGATTTGGATATTCCTTTCACTTTTGGGTTTTTGGAATGGTAAACAAGTACAGTCAAAAGTCGTTAATCCGGACTTGTCGGGACTTCGGCGATTCCGGATTATAGATCATCAGTTTAAATCGCGTAAGATGGCATGCAGAAATTCTAAAATTAAAAATATGAAACCGTAATTTATGAAATAAAGAACAATTATGATCTAAAGGGTATCAAAACTTGCCGAAAAAAAGCTTAATATTTATTTATTTACTTTATTAAACATTTCTTTCAATGTAAGTTGTTTAAGTTGCTTCATTTTATGTGATAATACTTTCTCTTTAATTCTATAAACAGACATATTTTTTTGTTCACTTACAAAGTTCCGCTGTTCAAGTCCCGTTAATTGCTGTGCCGAGAATACCGACTAACTTGTCAATCAAAATTTTTTCGTTTTCACTAACCTCTCTGTCACATTCTTCATGTCTTTATCCATTTTTTGCAGCAATTCCACTTTTTGTTTGATGGACATCAAAACATACTTTCGTTTTGTACGATCCTTTGGGATCTCCAGAATCGGAAATTCTATTTGACATAATCGAAAGTTCAAGTTTACTTTTATAGTATTGCTCTTACAGTCTGCAAAAAATAATAAGCCGGATCCAATTCGAAAATTAAGGAACAATGCAATCATCAACATTAACTGAAATAGATAATTAGATAATTTTAGCTTATACCGTCCGTTATACATAAAACGCATACGCGAAAACGTATTCTGCGCTTGCGCACACAAAAATGTGCAGTCGTAAGAGGTCTTGCGCGCACGCGTAAACGCCTATGCGCATGTGTCAACGTGGCACATGCGCAGAAAGTTTTTAGCTTTGAGGTCCGGATTATAGATCATTCCGAATTATGGGTGTCCGAATTAACGACTTTCGACTGTAGTGGTTTTAATTTGAAATCTCCGCTTGCATTTCCACCCAGTAGAAGTGTTAAAGCAATCTTTTGCAGCTTTAAATCCTGGTGCACGTTCTTCTTCACGGGATAGAAATGTTCATTTTGGCATTCTTTTCCAAAATAGGCCTGTTTCATCAACATTAAAACCCAATTCTGGAGGATAGTTTCCTCGTTCCATTATTGTCTTTAATGTTGCTGGGAATTCAGCCGCTGCTTTCGTATCACCACTTGCTGCTCCTCCTGTAATATGTATGTTATGAAGATTATTTGCAGTTGCCAATGATAGTATTTTTTCTTTATTCTTAAGAATAGTCCTTATTGTTGAAGTTGCCAAATTCAATGTAGCACCAATTTGAGGTTGATGTTTACTAGTATCTAATCTTCTAATCACTTGCATTTTAGTTTCTAGTGAAATACTTTTTCGTGTTTTTTACTATGACCCACGATAAAACCTAAAAACCATATATCAATCGTTATATTGTATAGATTTATACTTACAATAATGTCAACAAATGTTTGAAACAATAAAAATACGTTCGTATAACACCAGAGGAAAGAAGAAACATAAATAAACTGCTTCGGGTATCTAATGCTGCGTGTAATTTCGGGGAATCCCACAATTCAAATAAAAGAACATTAAACCGAAACAGCGCTAAATAAAACAATGTTAAGCAAAGTCTTGCTGTACTTGTAAGTTTAATTTATGATTATGTGAAATTAAAAATTACCCTTTCTTGAGCTGCTCTTCAATCTCCTCCTCTTCTGATTCTTCCTCACTTTCGGATGTTTCAACTCTTTTCACCGGACCTCGGTATTTTCCAACTTCCTAATATTCACATTTTAAACTAATTAAACAAATTCTAAGCTTAAAAACTAATATCATATTTATATAAATTATTTTTATTACTTCAAATTTATAACAAAAACATGCATATTTTTATTTTATCTTTTTATCAACATACAACAAAAACATACATTTACTTTTTTTGTTTTACTAAAATACCATTAAAAGGTTTCATTTGGTGTGTTAAAAAAATTTAAAGGCATATATGTCAATTTCAGTACTTTCATTCTTACCATTCTGTCACAGAAAGCTTCTTCAGATGTGTCAAAACCATTAGTCTCTGGTACACCATTCTCCCCTTTCTTGCTGAAGTCCAAAACACTAGCTTCTTGCATAGAGCCAGCACCATCCCATTTGCGTGGTTTCTTTGATTTATCTTTTGGAGCAGGGCTTTTTCTGCAAATAAAAAGGAAACGAAAGTTGTTTTGAAAACACTAAATTATCTAATTATAATTTTTTATTATCTTTATGAAAACACACCATAATATTCAGTTAATTGTAACACATACAACTTCATTGCACTCACAAGAAAATTACAATTAACATTTTACTTTCTTAAAAAACAAAAATGGCAACAATGTAAATTTCTGGAATATGATGACACAGTACTTAATGTCTCACATAATGGAACAAACAACAAAAACAAGAGTAATTGCATCACCACCACAAAAGATAGCTTGTAACAGTCTCCTAATGTCATGGCTTCTTAAGGAAAAAGAAAGCTTTTCATTTAGCCCAAAAGCTACAATACTGCACATTTGCTCCAAAAAATGCCTCACATTTTGTCACACATGTTGGCTGTTGTAGACAATCCATAACTGCGCTCTGTGAAACCAGAGAAATACATACGGACCACGCCAGTTTATTACAATCACACATATGTCCCCCATCCAGCTATACTAAACAGTAACTGTTAGCGTTGTATTTTCTGCTTCAAATACTGAAACTAATAAACAAGATATTTTAAAACAAAACTTAGAAGCTGACAATATGAATTAATTAGAGGCTATACATTATGATGGGTAATTGGGGGGAGGAGAACAAAACATTGTGCATGTTGCTAACATCTTATTTGCATACTTAGAAGGATAGCTGAGAATGTCCTGAAAGAATTCTATGTACCAATATTTTCTCAAATAGCACAAAAGGTAATGGCATGAAATTACTTTTCACTTACTTTCTTTGTACCAGCAATGATAACTGTTGGCTATAACTATAGTCCCAGTTGATCCTTTAATTGACCAGTACTTTACATACTACATTTATCTAGGCTGACAACTGACTTTGACATTTCCCTTAGTTTGAATAATCAATTATTATACTTTTTGTTACCTTTCTTAAACTCCTCATTTCATCTAGCATTTTCTCACCAGGATGCAAATTAAGTTAAAGTGAAGAAGAGTATTCCAATAGGCAAAATGAGAAAGATAGACAGAACGTGATTTTGAAAGCACAAAACAAGTTGCTATTTTGTCTTTCCTGCAGTTAATTTTAGTTACTGATATGCCTTCTAGTCATTTTAATAAATGATGTAGATTGTTCAGTCTGTTAGGTTTAAGCAGTCCAGCAATACTCTTTGGCATTTAAATTATTCTTTAGTTCTCATCGCAAGTAGTCAGTGATATTGTGAGCACAAAGTCGTGCAGTTTTGTTAAAGAGTTTTATTCAAATAAAAGGGCATTTTAAACGCTTTCCCTGTGTTTTAGTTCTTCATGCCTTTGCGAGAAGTCGCCTGGCTTATTACTGAGATCTACACTGTTACATGATACTGAAGAGACAGCGATTCTACAACATGACTTTAGAAAAGTGGGTAACTTTTGACTACAATTATATTAGAATAATACACCTAAAGAATAACATTTATTACTCAAGTAGTTTGCCCACTTTGCTTGAAAACTAAGAGAGAGGAAAAAGAAAATTAAGCAATTTATATTGTACCTCATGAAATGTGAGAAACAGATTAAGAGTATGGATAAAGAGATGTGCTAATATTCTTGTAAGACAGCAACACAATGTCTCAGATTATACTTCTTATACTGTAATTTAGCTAACAACCATTTAATTGAATGAGAAAAAGTTCAGCCCTTGCCTCCATTTATAACACATTAATTTATGATTTCTTACCTACGACTCACTGCATTAAATAATGAAATCCCAAAAGTGAATTTTACATAAATATGTTATCTCAGAAATAAGAAAGCAATCATCATTATACTTTCAAAAGATTGTTATATTTTGTTAGTAATGAAATCTACATTCATGTGAAATAGTTTTTAGTGCTGTTTAGTCCTTGAAAGCAACAAGTTTTAAACAATTAATCTAACAGTACTTCGTACAATAATAAGATCACTGAGCTTACATATATAAAAGAAACTTCCAAAATGCAAATTTTACATTCAGCATTCCGGCCAATAAAATTTATCATTTTATGAATATATGACAAGATATAGCTTTAAAACAAATATATATATATAGACTTACTTAGTATCAGCTTTCTTTCCTTTCCCTTGCTTTTGTAAAAATTTTGAGCGCATCTTAAGAACAGAATCATTTTCTTCCATATCATTCTCTTTATCATTAGTTATTGCTAAATTTGCTGGAGGCAATTTGTTAGCATCCTTTTTTGGACCTAGTTAAATAAAAAATATTTTTGTTATGGTAAACATGCATAAAAATTTCATACAAAAAGTATATATTTGCTATTTTTTACTACATTTATCAAAAATATCGTTACAAAATTCCTAGCTGTAGTAAGATAGCTTCGCAAAGCGGGCTTAGGGTTGCCAAAAAATGGCAAGGAAAGGCAGGGTTACAGACAAATATGGTAGTATAGAAATTAGCACATGTATAAAATGAACAAATTGAAGGTGTCGGTTTGCTATAGGAAAAGTACCTTCAATATGGAATATGATCGCCTCTAGAAGCAATACAGCACATACAGCGATGTGTGATGCTTTCAATTATGCAGTCTATCAGTTCCATAGGAAGCGAGAGCCATTACTCTTGCAAAGCAGTTGCAAGCACGACAAGGGTTTCAGGGGGTGGATTGAGAGCAGCTAGACGTCTTCCTAAAGCATCCCAAACGTGCTCAATAGTATTCAAGTCCGGGGATAGAGCTGGCCACTCCATGCGCATAATTGTTTCCTGAAGATAATCATCTGCGATGCGAGCCCCGTGTGGTCTCGCGTTGTCGTCCTGTAACGGGAAAGCATCGCTTATTGCTCCAGCATGTGGGTGCACATAAACATCAAGGATGTCATCTCTATAAATCTGAGCATTCAAGGTTCCCCTTGGAAAGACATGGAGGTCTGTGCATTCACCCAAAGAGATGCCACCCCAAACACAGACACTGCCCCTTCCATATGCATCTCTTTCACAGATGTTTGACAGATGATAACGGGTTCTAGGTTCTCTCCATATCAAATAATGCCTACTATCGCTTTCTAGACTAAACCTGGACTCGTCCGTAAAGAGAACCGCCCTCCATTGATCAGGCATCCAGTGAACATGTTGTTGTGCCCACTGGAAACAGTCCCTCCTATGGCATGACATGAGCATCACACAAATGGCTGGTCGCCTCGCATACAGACCACCTTCGTGAAGCCTTCTGCACTCAGTTGACGTTGACACCAATCTTCCAGTGGCTGCAGCAGAAGAGGATCTAAGAAGAGTCAAGAGTAGCGGTTCTATTTCTGCATGCACATAATGTCAAATATCGGTCATCGGTGCTCGTCATAGCAGTTGCCGTCCTTGGCTGAACCTCCTAGATGCTGAATCTGTGGTTTGAAATTGCCTCCAAAGTCTATGAACCACAGAAGGACTCACATTTAGCCATCTGGCCACTTCTGTTTGACTTTGTCCTGCCTCTAGTTTCCCAATGGCTCTCCATCGCAGTTCTGCAGGCAAATGATGCCTGGAGGTCATTGTTACGAATTGGCTACCTCAGATTTCTGATGTCACTGTCACAGTGAAATATGTGGGCTTGCTCTCAAACATGGACTTTTATGCTCCTCGCAGATGACATATTCTGAAAGCAGCGCCACTAATTTGCATATCGCAGTTTTACTCAGCTACTCTTACTTGGCAACATATTCAAATTTTACACAGTTTGGCTTATTTTTGAGGAAGTTATCACTATTTTTGTGATTTTTCCTTAATTTATGATAACCAGTGTAATTTACCTCCTCTTAAGGTATTAGGAAGATCAGCAATCTTGCAGCTTTAAATCACACTGTGGGGTGATAGCCTCCATTTGTTCTAAGTCACAGTTCGACAAATGCTTCATGATGACTTTGCAAGTCTCCCATTTGCTTAAATTTTTTGTTAAACAAAATTTTTTTTAATTTTTAAAAATATTTCAGCTGCATAAGCTTCTCAGTTGCTGAATGTGAAACAGCCAGACTTTTATTTAGTACACATTTTAGTACATACATACTTTTTACCATAATTAACTATTTATGTTAAATATTAAAAAATCCACTTATAATTAGTTCCCCCACCCCATTTAGTTTGGTGAAAACTGGACTAAAAAAAAAAAAAAAAAACAGATTTGAGCAACTGCTCTCTTTAGCAATTTTGCAGAAATTTAGCATGTAGCATTCTAGCAGAAATTTTACTGTTGTTTCTTCTATTGTATGTAAATTCCATTAGTGCATATTTTGAAACTGAGATAAAGACAAAATATCACAATACGTCTATGAAAACAGATTAACTTGAAATTAAACAACAAAATACATGAAAATGGTACCATTGCTTATTAAAAATAAAGATCTGTTATGTGCATTGTTGCTAAAATAATCTGCATCCTGAAAATTTGTCAACTTTTATTAAGGTGATGGTGGTTGTGCTAATTCATTAGTAAAAAGACTAAATTTTGACATTTGTAATGAGTTAATTTATGATGAATTTATTTCTGAAAAATAGACAACAGATAGACTTTTGATATGAATTTGCCATGTTAGGCCACGAAAACCTCCATGGGATAACTCGTTTCTGCAGCACAACAATGTGCCACAAAATTGTATTCATGTTGAACAGTTTCTAGCATAGAGAAGCATCTGTCTTCAGTAATTGTCCTTATTCACCAGGCTTGGTGAATCACTGCAATCAAGGACAATTACTGAAGGTGATGATTTATTGAAGGACAATTTTGACAATTATTGAAGGTGCACTGATAGACTACTTCTTGCTTAAAACACCATTATTTTAACAGTACTGAAGAGATTCAGAAAACCATTCACAACAAATTAAAAAACTTTGAATGCACTGTGTATGAAATAGTTTATTTTTGCTTAATAAAATGTTGAAAAGTAAAAAAAGTATCAAAATTTCTTCGACAATGTAATATAATAAAAGTTTTCACAATCTGTGTTTCCTTAGACCAGTGGTTCCCAAACTGTGTGTAGGAGCCACGGCCTATTCACAAGGGCGCTGCAAAATATTGTAAAAGCTTCATAATTAATTGAACCAGAACATTTGGCAAGCTAAACAAAAAACAAACGGAAAAGCTAAAAATAGTTTTTTTTGTGTGATGTTTTGATGCTTGTTTGGCCTATTAAGCAGCACTCAGTACTTTAGCTTTTTCACAACAATGTGCCTTTGGCTTTATTTACCAAGATGAGCTGAGTTAAAGCCTTAAGGCTAATGTAGATTTTTAAAACACAATATCCAACTTATTCAGTCAGCCATTTTAAAATTGAAGTCTAATGAAATTAAACTCAGCACTTCATGTAAATAAATAGTGAATAAATTAATTCATGCAGTATAGTTAGTGTTACATTACTTCTTGCCTTTGATAAATAGTTTTGTGTTTTTCACTCTTGTATCTTTGATGATGAACCGATTTTTGAACTGTAATAAACATAATAGTGCAGATAAAGAAAGTATATCTTCAACCAGTAGCAATATTGTGAAGAAACGAAAATATCGCAAATATGATGACGGTCATTTAGAGTTTGTTTCTACGTCAACAGAAATTAATTGTGAAGAGATACTGTAATGTGTACTGAGTATGAAAGTTTTGGCAGCAGATTGTATGCTTCCAAGTACACTGAAGCATCATTTAGAAGCTAATCACTACAACCAAGAACACATTTTTTTAACTCAACATAAATACCAAACAATGCTTTGCTAGCATCTTGCAAAATGGTTTTCAGAATCACAAAACATAAGAAGCCTTGTACCATCACAAAAGAGCTAATTTTATTGGCTGCTGTAGCTTGCAAACATAATGGTTAATGAGTCTGCTGAGAAGCTCCTTTTAAAGTTCCCCCTTGTCCAGTAGCACAATGAGGTGGGAATAACCATATGATGAAATATATCAATGATTAATTAACTGAAAAAATTAAAGGAGTGAAATTTGGATTGTAGATAGATGAAACTATGGATAATTAGATACTTTTGCATGGATTCAAGATCCATTTAACAATGGTGCTGTGACTGAGTTTCCTTTGCAGAAGAAGAGAATCTTATCAAGTTGTCTTACAACAGCTTGAAAGCAACATTTGGCAGGATGGAATTGACAGATTTTTGGATTTCAATAAAAGATGGATGTCCCCTTCTAAGACTCGGCGGATTTTAATTCCATTTTCAACATCGTGCTTGTACAGCAACTGCCGAAAACCCAGCTTCATACAAGCACGATGTTGAAAATGTAATACAAAACTCAACATGGAAAAGGAAATGAGGGTGGCAGGGTCCAGTTGAATTTCATGATTTGAGATAATGTGCAGTAATTTACAAGCTCATCTATCCCATTAATTACTTATGTAATGTTAAATAAAGTTTAAAAAAAGGTTAAATGATGAAAGTACACACATTTTACTTATTTTTATTTCTTATTTAGAATTAGTCATACTTTTATTCAGGGTAGGGCGACAGGGAAAAATTTTAATTGAAAAACGGCACCGCGACTCGGAAAACTTCGAGAACCCCTGCCTTATACACAATAGTATACAATCCGTGCTTTGGAAAGCTGCATATTTCAAAGATTTTCATAATTTCAATTATACTAAGAAAGTTCCTCAAATACCTAATTAATCATTTACATCAGTTAGTACTAAAATGGGTTGAAAAAATAATTGGCATCTCACCCGAATTCTTTGATGAATCTTTCTCTTTTCGTTTAGGATCATTTTTATTTTCTATCATTGAAGCAATGGTTTTCTTAGACTTCAAAGATTCATCAAAAGTTCTCATTTTTCTTGGTTGGTCTGCAATTTTACGACCATATTCCTCTGCTTTCTTTAAAATCTGAAAATAATGAATTTATATATTTATAATTCTATACTCATAATAATATAAAAAACTATGCACTACTGAACCAGATAAAATTAAAAAATCAGAATAGTTTATAATTTTTCTCACAATATATTTTAGAAGAATTATAAAAAAAAAAAAAAAAAAAGAAAAAAGAAAAAAAGAAAGAAAGAAAGAAAATGGGGGCTACTAATCAACCAGGAATTTTTTTTTTAAAATTGTTTTCTAGTTGAATTCTCATAAAATGCAAAGTATTTTTGCTTCAGATATGATATGGCATAGCTCCTAATCTTGAAATATGAAAAGCCAGAAAATTCTGTGAGGTTTTTTGTGCTGCATGGGAACACCATTTTAAAAGAATTCCAGATTGGCTTAAATTCACACTACAATACACAGGTTATTTAACTATTGAAAATAGGATTCTGATGTAAAATAGCTTGATATTTAATTACATATCCTTAAATTTATGATTTTTGGCCAATTTCATTTTGTAATTTTCATACATTTACACAAAAAAAATCTGAAATAGAGAAGTAAAGCTTTAATTTATCACATTTAAACATAATGAAAATGAAAATTACATACTATCATGTGGATAACTTTAGTAATGCAACATATATATTGATGGAAAATAAAATTAAATACAGTGATTCTGTGATCTACCAAGAGACCAGGATAGTTTGCAATTATGGATATGATATCAGACTAAATGACCATTCATTCAAAATCTAGAGATTTAGCAACTGCATTAACTTTTATGACTAAATTAAAAAAAAAAAAAAAAAAAATTAAAAAAACCTAAATAAATGAATTTAAAAAAATGTCCATGTGCATAATACACCATAGCTGTAGCTGTGCACAGTAAAACAAACACTTGAAGCATTGGCTTCAAATATTGAGAAATATACGACATGAAGAAGGGGACATATCAGCATTCAAAAGAAGATAATTTGGTGGTGCTAGCTGATCCATATGTTACATAGACAGAAAGTCTCCAGGGCTATGTTGCATACCTACAAGATGTTTAACACTGTGGAGTCATTAAGTTATTTTGAAGCAGGAAACATGAAAAATGAGCAATGCCCTCGACGGGACTCAAACCTGGACCTCTCGAATACACGCCAAGTGTGTTACTGTTACACCACGAAGGCATTCAGAAAAAGGACGGAGGAAAAAACACCTTATAAGTATAGCAAAATATTTGATGATAATAATCCACATATTAGAACAATATCCAAAACTTTTCATGGTTAGAGTAGAATGAAGAATGTGCCTTGGATTATCACTAAGTTGTTGTTTCATTTATGGTAACCTGAGTAGTTTAATGCTATGAACACCCTATTATGATGTAATAGGTTGTGTGATTGTGGCAAATTTGAATGATGAGATGGATTTTGGATAAGAAGTACATTGTTAATTTGTGGTTTACACAGTAAAATGGCTGAATGTTGTAAGATTAATTTGAAGTTTCTGTGTGATTTTGAATGAAAGGGAAAAAAGCATCAATTGACTGGTGTGTAAATGAAAGTTTACTTAATTGCCATTACACGGTAAAATGGGTGAATATTGTAAGATTAATTTGAAGTTTCTGTAAGATTTAGAACAAAAGGGAAAAAAAGCATTAATTGACTGGTGTGTAAATGAAGGTTTACTTAGCTGCCAATATAACTGTCCTGTATATAGGAAGAAAATGTGTATGGTCAAACATCAGAGGATATTTTTTACTCTTATTTTTGTGAATTTATATGGCGATGCCAGTATACAGATTCTAGTTCAGATAATTTTAGGAAGGTTTTGGATGCTGTTAAGGAACTTTGACTGAAGATAGGGAAAGTTGTAAATAAGGTAAGTGGATATTTCCTTTGTGTAGTGCTAATGAATTTCCTTTTTTATGTTATTTCACTGTTTGATTTAAAATGTAGTTTATTGAGATTATATATTTTTTGTTGGCTGCTCCTTTGACTTTTTAAGTGAATATAGAATTCAGCGATTTTACCACTCGGCCGCTGGTGGGCCTGGAAACCAATGTGACATTACATGATATTTGTAGAGTGAGAATGGGACCCCCGACTGTGTGAAGGGAGATCTGTTGCCATTTCAAATGTGTGCCATCAATTCTTTAACACAAAGCCTAGGGCTTCTGATTTCTGACACATTGCAATGAGCTCAGCTTGTGCCAAAGTGTGCATAAAAACATCTGTGTTGCCACCAAACTCTTCATCGCAAAAAAACACTGCAGCTTTTACCTTCTGTTCAAAACTCAACTGCTCATTATCTGCCACCTTATAAATTGTTGTTTTGCAGCAAAGTTGAATCTGATACCGACTTCTACTCGATTTTACACAAAGAAAAGTACCTAATACATATTTTCAATATATAATATTGAATAATTTATGGGTCACTCAATTGGATGACATTTATGTGCACCAAACTGTTGATAAGGCGGTTACTCCACTACAATGCATGATATGACCATGGAATTGTAATAAAACTGAAGTTCAGACTCAAGATTTTGAATATATTTTATGGATGAACTAAAGTTCCTGCAAAAGATACACAGTCAAAAGTCTTTAATCCGGACTTGTCGGGACTTCGGTGATTCCGGATTATCGGTTTTTCTGGATTACAGATCATCAGTTTAAATCTGGTAAGATGGCATGAAGAAATTATAAAATTAAAAATATGAAACCGTAATTTATGAAATAAAGAGCAATTATGATCTAAAGGGTATCAACATTTACAAAAAAAAAAAAAAAAAAAAAAAAAAGCTTAGTATTTATTTGTTTACTTTATTAAACAATTCTTTCAACGTGCGATTGTGTAAAGTATACATTGCACACAGTCGAAATTAGAAAATTGCAACTAGAAAGCTATTTGATGTGTATTCGTGATATTTATAATGACGAGGAATTTGATTTAAATCATATCAAAGACGGAGTACATCGAGATGAAATACTACATTTAGTAAGGAATTATAAGCTGAATAAAATAAAAACATCTGCTGAGAAGATAAGGATAGTGCTGACAGATCAACTTCCAGTTAATTGTGCGCCACCATAATCCAAAGTTCAACCAAAAAAAAGCCTTTACTTCGTGAAAACAAAATGGCGTCCAAAACAAAACTAGCAGGTTGCTGTAGCAGCGTTGGTTGCCAAATTTTCGCCAAAAAATTGCCAAGTTACCATAATCCAAAAATTAACCAAGGGGATTTTAGGAGGAAAAAGCTGATAATCGAAATGTATGCACAGATATACAATATTTTGTATGTTACTTCATAAATTATTCACCATCAAAATCATCAACTATATAACTCATATAAATACACTATACTTAAACTCGTTAGATTTTAACTTACTTTTTGGAACTCCTTACTAAAATCATAATTTGAAAAAAAGTCACTATCTTCTAATTGCTTCATGTATTTATCCCTAAACTCCAAATGAACATCATCTAGAAATTTATCTACGTAAGATAACTGCAATATTTTTTGATAGGCAACCTAAAAATACATATAGAAATTTCAGAAGTGATAACTGCCACAATGATAATTTTATTTTATAACTGCAGAAAATGTTATCTAACATGACAAGTAAATTAAAACAGAAAATAAAACAGCAATATTTAAGAAAAATACTTTAAATTAATATACATCATACATGAAATTTTTAATTATTCTTATGTAAAATTATGTCAAAAAATTTCACAACTGAGCTTATAACATGAAGAAAGCTAATAAAAAATGCACTAAATTAATTCATTCAAAAAAACTTTATTTAAGAAAACCTGAAAAATTTAGAAAAAGATATATTTATGATATATATATATATATATATATATATATTGTAAACTTGTTTTATGAATATAGTAGTTTTCAAAAGAAAATTTAAATGTTTTACTTACAACAATACAAGCTCAAATTCATTATCCAGTTTGTACTTGAGTGTAAGGCCTTCATGTGTAAAATTTTCATTTCCACTTCTTTCCTGCAATAAAAATATTTTTTTTTTTTTTTTACATTTTTTAATAAAATATGTGCTTTTTAAAAATACTAAACAACATGATTATGTAACTTCTAATTCATTTAATTTTACAAATTAGTTTTATCATGTATAAGGTTTCATGTATAAGGTTATCATGTATCATGTAGTTTTATCATGTATATCATGTACAATTAGTTTTATCATGTATAATTAATTTGAAGTTTCTGTGTGATTTTTTCTGTGTGATTTAATTATAAGGATTAAAATTATTCCCCGCATAAAGCATTCTTTCAAAATTTGTACACTAAAAATAAATAAAATTAATATTAATTACAACAAAAATGCAATAGAAAACTCATTATTATGCTATGCAATGTGTATTCTATCTCAAGAATTATGTAAAAATATCACAATCACATTATAATCGAAAACTATTTTTTTTTAATACACAATGCCTGTAAATTACAAGTTAAGTTATTTTCATTACAAACAACATTCTCATCCCTTTCTGTTGATTTCAATATAAAAATGAATATTTTCATTAAAACTCATGCAGTTAACTATTCCTCCCATATAAATCAGCATTATACATTAGCATGATTTCAGAGCCTTAAGAATGACATTAATTGTATTAAAACCCTTTTCTCCACTTCCTATTTTCACCAAATTTGAAAGCTTTAATAACAAAATTCATTGCATCAAAAACTTTCTTAAAAAAAAAAAAAAAAAAAATTATCATTTTGAAATCATTTTTTTCTTTTTGCCCTCCCTTATTGTGGAATGGAGTTCAGTATAAGTGATAGCAAAAAAATTACTTCATGAATCACTAATGTTTCATTAACAAAATGCTCAAGATTCAAAATTTATTAATCAGTTCTCATAACGATAAAATTCCAATAAATCTGCCTCTACAAATAATATTAATTATTACTAGTCTTAAAAGCATGTTAAAACAGTTCATACTGATTTTTCTACACACTGGTGGTTTCATAAACTTACATATAAAAAATTTAAAAATATAAACCTTTTTCAAATTAACTTACATTAAATAACAGAAAAAATGAAATATAAAATACTAGTTTTGTTGTTATTTCCTCTACAGTAAGATTTATAAGAAATCAGTTTAAAAAGTTGCTCTAAAGAATAAATAAATGATAACAATCAATACTTATTACATGGATTACTAAAACACATACTTTAAAATATGGTGTGCTTTTAAAATTCTGTACAAAAAATACTTAATATATGAAAAGTATGGTAACATGAAAACCTCACTTGCTTTTCAATCCCAAATATTCACTCTGGCGAATATATCCCATACTAGATGCACTAAAGAATGTTGTTTCATACTCGAAATGACTAAACGTAGACATTTAATTATTTGAAATGGCAAAAATAGAAAGATAGTTGAGTCAATAGAGATTACGAAATAACAGAAAGATCACATAACCGAATTCGATTCGAAAGTGTGAAATATTCAGAGTATCAGAAAGATTCTGACGACACACTTACATCAGAAGGGAAAATCGAATAAAAATTTTCAGATGTACATAGTACAGATAAAATAAAACATTTTTTTATGCCAGTCAGAAAATAGGTCATATAACATTCGCTATGCGTCAATGTTTAAATTCTAAGCGCTCAGGTGACAGATTTACCTGTAAAATAACAGTACGTATAAGTGCATTGACAGGAGAAGTAAATATCTGCGATGTGCCTTGAAAGCACCACAAAACAATTCCACTTTTACTGAATATAGTGAAGAGATCAAGCATTTTGGAGATACTCCACTACCACACGCAGAACGTAAAAGGACGTAACAAATTGCCTCAAAACATATGTTTTCCTCAAACGTCGCCAACCAGACAGACAGACAGACAAAGTAGACAGTTGTTTTGGACTTGCTAAGTCTTTCTGCCCGCAGGTCGAAAAATCAAACTTAAGTAGGAAGAAAAGATAAAAGAAGGCAATTTTGTTTGACAGAAAAAAGTTTTATTCATTCTAATATGCAATAGACAATGTGTCTCCAATAACGAAGAAGTTATGCATATATCACCTTATAATGAAGCGTCCACTGTGCTATTGTAAATACATAATATGTTGGGTGAGGTATTGAAAATACTAACCTAACGAAATAGAAAGGGGTTAAAAAAGGACAGGATGCTTCGTTCCATGAATTGAGAACTCCAGAATAATTTGCTTCATATCAGAGAAAAAAATAAGCTAAGAAACCTCTAATCAGAAGTGCGACGCTTTCAAAACAGTTTAAGGGTACTTGAGCTAGTTGAAAGCGTAGGCAAAGCAAAGGAAAGAGGAAAAAAGTTGGGGGTCCAGTTTGACAACAATCTGAAACTTTGTTAGTAAGCTAACTTTAATCTAAGATACAAAAGTAAAATAAAAATAAAATAAAAAGTATGGTGAGTCCAAACATGAATACAAGGCAATATGCTTACTTCCACCTTGAGACACAACACCAGAAGAGAAACACACCATCAGACAAAAGCAGATTTTCATACATTTTTCAGAATGAAGCAGACAAACATAGATATCGACATACAATTCGGGAATGAAACAGAAATTTAAAAAAATAGGGAGAGACACCTATACACAGCTGTATTTACAATAAATAGTTAAAAGTTGTAACATGCTGTGACGCTTCAGATAAAGGCCCTAAATATGTGAGTAAATTACCAATATTACAATATAATCCCCTAGTCTAAATAATATTTATAGCCACAGATTCCTAGATGTTACAGAAAAATTCTTAGAAAAAACTTATTAGTTTCGTGTAAAAAAATTACACGAAATGATCAAGAAAAACCAGCTGAAACACTTTCAAGTAAGACTTCAACGTTCATAAAGGAAAAAAAACACCCCTGGCAATAAATCATGACTGCATAAGTAAAGCTTTAGAACGGTTCTAATTTTTTTTTTTTTTTTTTTTTTTTTTGGAGCAAATAAGAGAGGGGGTGAGCAGTTTAGAACTGAAATTTTTGTAACAAAAATAAATGAATAAGTAAAAGAAAAATCGTTCCGCGTTCATATGCATTCTTAATTTAATTCCTAATTTATATTCTTCCTTTCTCTCTTTTGCCGCAAATACTGAAGTTTCATCGACCCCCCCCCTTTTGCTCTCTCCATAGATATAGTAATACTAATAAATGGAGCACGCCTAGTCTTTCAAACACGTAATTTTGATTCCAAATGAAGTTTGTGGCATCAGCCATGATAGTGGCAAGAAGCATGGTTCTTGTCAAGAAGGTTAGAATAGAAGGAGGGAAGGTTCAACTCAAACGGTGAAGCATGGCGGCCATCTTCCTGTTATCACCGTGACTTGTGCAAGGAAGTCTGTCATTGCAACATTTTTTTCTTTTCTTTTTGAAGCATGTCAGCTTGTATTGCATATGGATGCACAAATAGATTCTCGGAAAAAATTCCGGGCATTATTTTTCACACGTAAGTATTAATTTTCTTTATTTTTATGTAATATGACAACTATGTCAAAAAATATCACAATGTCATGTGGTTTTCTTTCCAGATGTGAAAAAAAGGACTTAAAATAGGTTATCTAATATAACTATAATCAAAATATATTAAATACATTTTAATGTTTCTGTTTATAGCTGGTATCTTCATTCCTTAAGATACAATGCTATATGGTAGGATTTAAATTGTATAATTTGAACGTTTTAGTTAATTCGTTTTATAACTTTCATGAAAAGGAAGAAATCAATTGTTACTATTTTTATTGATTGTAAAGGTGTTAAATAAAGCAATGCTTTTCTTTATATTTTATTATTCATTTTTTTAAGTTAAGATAACTGTTCTGTTTGTTAAAAATTTTTGCATAAACTTACAAATTTCTGAGCAGTATAGTGATAAAATTAAGTAAAATATTTACACAATTGAACATGTGAAAAGATGTATCCAAAAACTTATATAGGTGTATTTCTGTAATTCAACTTAATTAAAGGCAGTTTCTTTGAGATTAATAAATATGAAATGCGCATAAAGTAAATCATGAATTCTGTTTATTTTTATTAAGATTTATTTTCTAACCTAAGCGAATCCGTGAAATATGAAGAAACATCATTTTTAAAGGCTTTAATGTTATGCGCATGCATTGAGACTTCCGAACTATTTCTTAATGATTTTCTGTACGTAGTAAATTACGGATATCATCTTTATTGTAACTTTAAAACAAAAAAATTCAACAATAGGCGGGGCATTTCATTATAAATTTAACATATTTTTCCTGGAATATATATGCACGGGAACAGTTTAGAAACACGTAAGTTTCACTGCCGTAATGCAATGTTTTGAAGTTGCAAACATGGACGCCGCTTGTTTCGGCGGAGTTTCATTTCCCGATAGTGGAGGAAACTGCGAACCCTCCCTCCTTCTATTCTAACCTCCTTGGTTCTTGTGTGAGTTATCTATAGTAAACATTACCTTTCGACATCCTTGTTTTTAATTTTTGTCTTTGATATGGTGAATTTTTTTTGTTTTTTCCGTTTCCTTAAATTTCCATAGGTTTAGCCATGCCGAAGTCTTGCGTTGCTTATAATTGTACTAATCGATTTGTGAAAGGAAATGGAATAAGTTTTCATAAGTAAGCATCAGGAACAAATTTTCCATTTGTAATATTTTTGTTAATATATGAAAATTGTTTGCGAAATTTTAAACCATTTTCTTTCATTCTTAATCAAGTATTAAATATTGTAAATAATGTATTAAAGTAGATATGGACGGGTAAAATAATAATAACAAAAACTATGTGCTAGTTATTTAAATTTTTGTACTTTTGAGCTGAAATTTTGCCTGAATTCATTTTACTTATTAAAATATATTGTATGAAAAGACGTAACTCTCATATTTAGAATTAATATAAGTTTCATTATCGTGAGTAAGCTCTAAGTATATATTGGTGGAAAATTTATTAATATATACTACATGAAATAAGATGACTCACATATTAGAAATAACGTAGTTTTCTTATTCAGTAAATTTCATATATCTATTGCAAAATCTAAAATATAGGAGTAGAAATGGTTTTCTGAAACATTGGGTCAAAATGTTAACATTAGTTAATGGTTTGTTTAAAAAAAATTATACTGCTGAATGTAGGATTTTTATATTCAAATTGTATTGTATTTGTTAATAGTAGTATTGTATTTTATTTAGTGTATTGTGTTTTTTTCATAATATTTAAAGTTACTTATTATTTTATAGGTTTCCATTTCTAACAGGGAAGATTAATAAGTGGGTTTTCGTCATTACACAGGAAAGATTTTGTGCCAACCATGCATTCTTTTATTGCTCCAAGCATTTCACACCTGATTGTTTTTTTGAAAACCACAGTCCAGAAAATCCTAAAAGAGAATGCAGTTCCAACCATTTTTGATTTTTCCAGAGCATCTTAAAAAGGTACATAAAACTTTTGACCTTTTTTCCATTAGACAGGGATTATATTGTACTACAGAAGTATATAGCAGATGTGATACATAGTTTTTGCAATGCATTTTTATTATTTATAATTTTTAAATGAATATTTCAGTAACTGAATTCACAGAGCCAGCATGCATTATAATTGGCTCTCTTACCTTCAGAAGTTTGCCACCTCTGCCTAGCCTTAAAATTTTTATGTTAATTGTAATGATTCATTTAATGCTGAGTTTTCATGAATATAGTGTTGATTACATTTGACTGGTTATTATAAGTAGTTTGGTTATTATTGTTTGTATTAATGAATACATCTTTTATACTCCTAAATAAAATTTAGCTTATTTCTTTGCATGAATATGAACATTTTTATTCTAATTGTAATGGATGAGTTGTCATGAAACAGTGTTGATTTCATTTAACTAGTTGCTAAAAGTAATTATATTTTTAGTGCTTTGTTTTATGAGTAAATATTTGTACTCTTAAATAAAAATGTAACTTATTTTTTATAATAATATGGCAGGTAATTTATAATATTGTAAGCTGCTCAGCAGCAGTCTGTTAATATAATATTTATGGAAGGGCAAGTATATATGGATTTGCAGCGATGTGTGGTATGCTAACATTCCTAATGCTGCCATAGTTTAGAGTCATCTATACATAGTTTTTTAAAGGCAAACAGTTATAGCATGTATATTTTACAATGTTTTCAAGCATAATTTTGCATGAAGAATTGAAGAAAAGAATTAAAGTTTGTAATTTGCGAGTATCAAGGAAAGCTGAAAAGATTAATAATTTGATTAATGTTATCGAAGACTTAAAAGAGAAAAATTTAGTTAATTGTCAAACTGCAGAACTGCTAGAACAAACTCAGTGAACTTAGTCTTCAGTTTTGAAAAAGAAACCAAGTCGTTTGGCAATGAATTAAAATCTTTTGCTCTCTCTCTTTTTTATTCTCCAAAAATGAATATTGTAGGCAGACTTTGATGCCATCACTACCACATCCTACCACATTAGAAGATGGTATAATGTCATCAAGGATGTCCTGGATTCACTGAGAAGCTCTACTCGCTATAAGAGAAAGAGTTGATATAAATAATTATGAAGTTTATGTAGCACTTATATTTGATGAAATGTCAATAAGAAAGCATGTAGATTGGGATGGTAAAGAATTTTTTTGGGTATGCCACATTTGGTAAAAATATCTGTAACAGTCAGCTTATTGAAGCTAAAGAAGCTCTATATTTTTATTGTGGGTATCAATGTACCATGGTCAATTCCAATTGCTTATTTTTGATTGATAGCATAAATGCTGATGAAAAGCAAACTTGATTAGACAAGCTATTCATATTCTGAATGATGTGAATGTAATATCCATAACATTTTATGGCATATCTACTACGAAACGTTTTCAGCAGCTGA